GAGTTCAAGGCCAGCCTGATCTATACTGGGAGTTCCAGGCCAACTGGGGCTACAGGGAGACCCTCTCTCAAGAAAGACCAAAAAAGAAAAGAAGAGAAAAAAGAAAACCAGGTTTTTAAAATACATTTTTATTGAATTTTGGTGGGTTTCATACAATACATCTTAATCATATTTATCACCCCTTCCCTGTCTACACTCCCCCCATATCCCATCCACAGGACTTCATGCATTTTGTCATACATGTAAAGGCCTATCCCTATCAAATCAGTTTGTGTATCCAGATGTCTCTTGGTATGAGTTCATACACAGGAGCCTCTTCAGACTGTCTATAGTCACTCCCTTAAAAAAGATCAACTCAGGGCTGGAGAGATGTCTCAGCAGTTAAGAGCACTGACTGCTCTTGCAAAAGACCAGGGTTTGATTCCCAGCACCCACATGGCAGCTACGAACCATCCTTAACTGTAGTTCCAGGGGAATCCGAAGCCCTCTTCTGATCTCCACGGCATTGTACGACCTGGGTGCACTCACATACATGCAGGCAATGCACTCATACACATAAAATAAAAATAATAATAAATAAAATATTTTTAAAAAGATCAACTCTCCCTCACACAGCAGTGATCAGCTGCCAATAGTTCCTTGCCAATGATGTGGGTTCCTGTCCATCTCCCAGCTCTATGCCGAATCTTGTGTGATTGAATTTGCATGGGTCTTGTGAATGCTGTCACCACTGCTACAAGTTCATATGATCAAGGAGCCTATAAGACTGTTTCCTTACAGTCATGCACTTCTTCCCCTGACTCTTACAATCTTTCTGCCCCCTTTTCCACAATGGTACTTAAGCCTGGGTGGGTAAAGTTTGATATAGGAGTCTTGTCCAGGGACCCACACTACAGTCTCTTTTTCTCTACACTTTGGTCAGTTGTGGCCTTCTGTGTTCATTCACCTCTGTTACATGAGAAAGCTTCACTGATGAAAGTTGATAAACACATTAATATTCTCTTTACCCCTGTTCCATTTGTTCTGTGAGCCTTAGGTGTAGACGTTCCATGGTAGATATGTCACTTAGGGATAGGCATTTCATAGACACTTATTCTTTGTATGTGACCAGCTGTGGAACTCTGTAATAGTCTCCATCTGTCATAAAAGAAGCATTTTGATAAGTGGTGACTGGCATACTTGTCTGTAAATATAAGGATCCATATTTAGCATATAGTAGAAATTACATTTGTCTAGGGATATGACAGACTTAGGGCTTTCTTTAAGATAGATCTATTACCTCTTCAGCCATGTATATTTCGCTATGTTTACAGTGCAGCGCATGAGTTCCCTCCTACTGAGTAGGCTTTAAGTACAATTAGTTAGCTTTGATTACCCACATGATAAAATTGCCACTATGTGGCATATTGCCACTATATATGCCACTATATATGTGCCAATATAGTTTATTGTGTTGGTCAATGCTGTGGTTATTAGGCTTTAAATATGGGGTTGGATCATTGACTGATTTTCTCCCTTAGAAACTTGCATAGTGTCCTCCAAAACTATGAGAGCTAGTCTTTAGGGAGGTGGCTTCCAGGTCAGTTCCAGTTTCATTGCTCTAAGACCTGTGTCCAGAGTATGTCCTGTCTTCAGCAATAGGGTCTTAGCTTCAAGTTCAGTGAGATAATCAAGGACTGCAGCAATAGCCTATATAATTTTGGGAGTCTCTCAGATTGCTCTGACCAACAACTCAATGGGAGGTTCCGCTTATCTGACACTGTTTCTTGTTATATAGCCTTCAGCTTATACACATGCACTCATATACAGATACTGTATGTGTATTTTTCAGTAGGCTTTGAACTAATACATTTCCCTCTGATTTTTCACATCAGCTAATCATTACTTATCTCTCCTCTCTCTTTGTCTAACCTTCTCTCCTCCCTCCTCTGTTAAAGTAACCCCATTTTCCCCATGATAATACCTGCCTCATATGGTCCCCCCTCCCCCACCTTGAGATTCTTTTTCCCTTTTAGCTGCATGGTTCCTTGTAAAACCCTGCCTTTTCCCCACACAGTTAATACTCCCATTTTACCAATTTCACCCTTGGTAACACCTGTCTCCTGCTAGCCCTCTCTCAGGCTCCTTCTTTCCCTTTACCTCCATAGTTTCTTTCCATTTTTCTGGCTCCTACACGTAACTCAGGACATATACTCACATGTAAGAGATTGGTGCTAAGATCCACAAATGAGGAAGAGCATACATTACTTGTTTTTGTTTTTTTTTTGAGTCTGTGTTACTTTACTTAGTATAACAGTTTCTAGTTTCATCCATTTACTCCACGTTTCATGATTTCATCTTTCTTTACTGCTGAGTAGAACTCCATTGTGTAAATGTACCACATTTTCATCATCCATTCATCAATTGAGGGACACTTAGATTGCTTCCATTTCTTAGCTATTCTGAAAAGAGCAGCAAACATGAATGTACATGTCTCCACAGTAGAATGAGTCCTTTGGGTATATGCCAAGGATTGGTATAACCAGGTCATATGGTAGATTCATTTTAATTTTTGAGAGTTTGCCACACTGCTTTTCATAATAGTTGTAAGATTTTGCAATCCCACCCACAGTGGATGAGTGTTCCCCTTTCCCCACATCCTCTCCAGAATTTGGTATCACTTGTTCTCTTGATCTTAGCCAGTCTGAGTGGAGTAAGATGAAATCTTAAAGTGATTTTGAATTGCATTTCCCTAATTACTAAGAACTTTGAATACTTTTTAAGGTCTTTTCTTAGCCGCTTTTATTTCTCCTTTTTTTTTGGTCTTTTTGAGACAGAGTCTCCTTGTAGCCCTAGCTGGCCTGGATTCGCTATGGAGACTAGGATGACCTCAAACTCACAGAGATCTGCCTGCCTCTGCCTCCCTAAGAACTCTTTGTGGCTGGGCATGGTGGCAAATGCCTTTAATCCCAGCACTCAGGAGGCAGAGGCAGGTGGATCTCAATGAGTTCGAAGCTAGCCTAGTCTACATAGCGTGTTTGGGTTCCAGGCCAGCTGGGCTACAGGGAGACCCTGTCTCAAAAAAAAAAAAAAAAAAAAAAAAAAAAAGAATACTGTTCAGATCCATAGCCCACATTTTAATTGAGTCATTTGTTTTCTTGATTCTTAATTTTTTGAGTACTTTATATATTCTGGATAATAATCTTCTGTCAGATGTATAGTTGGTGAAGATTTTCTCCCACTCAGTGGGTTTCGTCCTCACTTCCTTGGTTGTTTCTTTTGTTGTACAGAGGTCTTTTAGTTAAATGAAGTCCCACTTGTTGATTGTTGATCTTCATTCTAAACAACTGATTTCCAATTTAGAAAGTCCTTTTCTGAACCTATGTCTTTAGGATACTGCCTATGATTTCTTCTAACAATTTCAGAGTTTCAGGCTTCACATTGATACCTTTGGTTCATTTGGAGTTGACTTCATGCAGGGTGATACACAATGGTTTAATTTCCTTCTAATTTCATTCATTCCAGTTTTGTCAGAACCATTTTTTAAGGTGCTATCTTTTCACCAGTGTGTGTTCTTGTCACCTTTGTCAAATATTAGGTAGCTGAAATTGTTTGCACTCATGTTTGGATCTTTAATTATGTTCCACTTATATATGTATCTGTTTTTGTACCAGTACCCTGCTGTTTTTATTACTATAGCTCTCTAATATAGTTTGAAATTTGTTATGGCAATCCCCCCCAGTATTGATCTTCACACTGAGGATTGTTTTGACTATCCAGTGTCTTTTGTGAGTCCACATGAATTTTAGGATTTTTTAAAATATAATTCTGTGAAAAATGTGATGGGGATTTAGAATGGCATTGCAGTGACTCTTTAAATTGCTTTCAGTAAGACGGTCATTTTCACAATATTAATTTGACCAATCCATGAGGTCTCAGAAGGAATTCAACTGGAGGGATTGTACTTCAACATAATTAAAGCCGTATACAACAAACCCACAGCAAACATTGTTCTAAATGGAGAAAAACTGTAAGCATTCCCATTAAATCAGGACCCAGACAAGGCTGTCCACTATCTCCACTCCTTTTCAATATAGTACTTGAAACTCTTGCTAGAGCAATAAGACAAGAGAAAGAAATTAAAGGAGTACTAATTGGAAAAGAATATGTCAAATTATCCTTATTTAAAGATGATATTATGTGTAAGAGATACCCAATATTCCACCAAAAAACTCCTAGAAATAATCAACACTTTCATCAAAGTAGCAGGTTACAAAATCAATTTAGAAAAATCAATAGCCTTTCTATATACCAATAACAAGCAATCAGAGAAAGAGTTCATGGAAACCCTCCCATTCACAATAGCCTCAAAAAAATCTAGAAATAAACCTGGTCAAAGACATTACAAATCTCTACAATGAAAATTTAAAAATTGTAAATCTTTGAAGAAAAAGATTGAGGAAGACACCAGAGATGGGAAAAAAAAAAAAACAAAAAAAAACTTGTTTTAAAAAAATTTTTATTCACCACAGCTGCTTTGTAGATAACAATTAGGATATTTAACAGTACTTTGGGAAAATTGTCAATAGCTAATTTGTAATGTCATTAAACAGAAATTTTACTCCAATTACAATATCTAGTGAAACTTCATTTTTATTTTTATTTTTACTTTTTGCATTGATCTATTGTGCATGTGTTTGTATGTGTGTGGGGGCACATGTATGCCATGGCACTCATTTGAAGATTAGAAGACAACTTTCAGGAATCTGTTCTTTCTTCCCACCATATGGATCCCAGTGATCAAAAACCAAGCCTTGGCTGCATGCACCTTTACCCACAGAGCCATCTAAAATTTGCTTCTGAAAGCATAAATGAGTGGGTTAGGGGATGGTTCAGCAGGTAGGAGTGCTTGCTGCACAAATGTGAGAACCTGAGTTAGAACTCACATAAAAATTAGTTACACAGACGCCCAGTACTGTGGGGGTGAAAATGAGAAAATGAGAAAAATGCTGGGAGCTTACTGGCTGCCAGTATACCTCCAGTTCAGTGAAAGATCCTGTCTTAAGGGAATTAGGTGCAATACAGTGATAGAGCAGAACACCTGATGTCCTCTGGTCTCTGCACACATGCATGTTTGTATACACCACATACCACACTTTGACCAACACTAAAAATTTTAAAAGTAAAATAAATGGGAAACAGTTATATTCATTGGTATGCTAGTGTATTTTTACATTATACTTGGAGCCACTGAGTTTGAATAACTTGATGATTTCCACACTGTGAATATATCAGGGACTTTTCAAGCTATCAACATGACATCATAACATTTAGATTTATCAAGGGGTGAACATGGTGTTCTATTATGTGACATTGACATCACACAGATATAATAGCTATAAATGGCTTTAGGGCCATTAAACTTATAAGAGATTTCAGAACCTTGAATATTTGAAAAGCTCATAAAGACATTTGGAAGGAACCATAAATAACTCAAAGATTTTTATTTTTGGGGGGGACTCCATTTGTTGCATCTTCATATGGCAGAAGAAACCAAGGAGCTCTTTGAATAAGGCACCAGTCTACTCATGAAGGCTTCACCCTCGGAATTTAATCCCCTCCCAAGGGCCCTGAATCCATAACCTTGGGAGTTGGCTTCAACATAAGAATTCTGGGAAAAGCAGAAATTCAGACCAAAGCAAATAGTATGATTGCTTTTTGATGAGTATCATAGGGAGACAAGTATTGAAAGTAGGGTACAGGGTTCTCCTGGATGGGATGTGGGAGCTGAGATTACACACACAGTGTGCACAAATACATGAACAAAGAGCCCATGAGAGCCAGGAGCAAAGGGAAGCACTAGGAATTCTCAAGGATTCAGACAACTGGGAACACCACTGAGATGAGAAAGGGTCTGAGCCTTTGCCCAGGAAAGTCTCTCCCTAAGACTGTCGATGAGGGCAATCACCTTAATATCCCCAAGGTGACTACCATCTGCTAACCACAATGTTAAGTGACTTGAGTAGCAACCCTAACATCTCAGCTAGAATGACAGATGGGTTTTTCCAACCTCCAAGTCCAAGGAACCAAAACTTCAGAAACCAGTGTCTGGGTCAAACAGGATCTCCCAGATTCACAGAGAACAGCTGTGAGGAGACTTTGTCCACCACCCTGCAGAGAGGAAAGGAAGACCCTCTTGCCAAGAGTCTCTTGGGAAGGACAGAGCAGAACTCTATAGATATACTATGGACAGAAATTAAGTATGAAGCTCTCCTGTCCTGTTGCAGTTTAGTCACATAGGTTGACAACACAAAGTCAGCATTGACTTTGAATATCTCATCGTTGTTTCATTATCTCAAGAGTCTAAGTGGGTGGTTCTTCTTCTCCTGGTGGTCCACAGTCATGGGACAACTTCATCTGCTCTCAGAGGGCCAGACTATCAATCTCAAATCCCTGAACTCCTAGGCCTTATCTGCATCACAATCTCGAACTGGTTCTTCTTGTGGCAGGGCTTTGAGGGCTTTCCCAGCTTCCTTCTGCACAAAAAAATCCAGAAACAAGGCTGTGATCTTGGTCTTGCCTTCAGCATCCTCCTGGACAGCACTCTCCAGACCAAGCATGCTGCAGAGTAGACAGGGCAAATGCCAAGCAGCACCCACATCTCTGCACTTCCTCCTGCATACTTGCGTGTGTCTATCCCTAAACTCCCTGCACTGGTATGCTCATGTGGGATGCTCACGTGGAATCGGGTCTGGGCCCCATGTGGTCATCATTTGGAGAAATAATCTCCACCAAAGCAGACAGAAGTCAGTGAAATGAAAACAAACAAGATGATTGCTCCTAGGAGAGGACGGATTTCTTGTCCATACTTCCACACTGGGAACAGCCCTCTGACTGGAATTCCAGTAGTAACTTCTTTCCAAAGCATCTGACTCTTGCCTGCTCCCTTCAGGGCAAGCTTTCTGGCCTATGGAGGGACAGCTGTCCCAAACAGCTGTGCCCCAGGTCAGAGCAGCCCATGTAGATTGCACTGAATTTCAGCTAAATCGCAGGACCATGACAGGAAAGCAAAAGAGGTCCATAAAACGTGCTAAATTTTTTTATTTTATTATTTAATTTTAGGTTTTAAGATATTAAAGAAATATTTAGGTGGGGCATGGTGGCATAGGCCTTTCATCCTAGCACTCAGGAGGCAGAGGCAGGGAAGAGCTCTGTGAGTTCAAGACCAGCCTGATCTACGTAGTGAGTGTCAAGTCAGTCAAGGCTGACTTATATACTAAGGTTGTATAATATACATATATATATATATGTATATATCTTACACAGGATAAGCAGTTCTTCCATTTTGGTTCCTCAAATAAAGAGATTTTATCTAAAAGTAAATGATACAGTGAATTAAGAGAGAGTAAAGACAAGCCCTCAGGGCCAAGGGACACAGTACAACTGTCCCTGGTCCTTCTTCCCACACATATGTATTCTGTCTCTAGATTCAACCACAAAAACTGGTGTGATAAATATTAAAGGAAAGCACACATTTTCAGAAAGATCTTGGATCAGTAACCACTTATATGCAGGAATGGCTAGAAGAGATTCAAACTTTAAACCTCACCTAAGTCTTACTGACTTATTTTAATCATGAATCCAAGCTCAGCACTGAGGCATTCTCAGAGATAAGGATACGACTGTCCCAGTTCAGACATAAATTAATGTTCCCATATACATAATCCAATAAATAAAGAAACAATGGGCTTTAGATACCAATCATCCAGAATGATTATAGGTACATTTTTTTTGAAATGTGAAAGACTGAGAAGAAATGAAGAATTTCATACTAATGAAAAGTTGCTTATTAAGCCTTTAAGTGGAAGTTTTAAATATATGCAACTTGAAATCTATGGAAAAGTAAAAACATCAACAGCTAAAGCTACAGTTATAACATTTGGAGTTGTTGCCGCTGATTTGAGATTGAAGTTATTCAACTGAATGAGATCATCCAGGAAATAAACATAAGAAATGAGGAGCAAAGAGCTGAGCCTGAGGCCTGGGACAAGAAAGCATTTAAGATTTAAGGTACAGCCAAGGAGACTGGGAAGGAATTGATGGTAACACAGAAAGATTTAAAAGAAAGAGAAGGAAGGGATGGAAGGAGGGACGGGGGAGAGGAAAGGGGAGGGGAAGGGGGAAAATGTCTACTTTTATTTTAATCCAGATGAAAATGTGCTTCGATAAGAAATGATCAACAACACTAAACACCATTAACAAATTAAGAGGATTGAGAACTAAGCATTGGAGTAGACAATATGGAACTTATTAGTAACCTCAGTAGCTATGGTTTGGGAAAAGTGTCTTCAACAATGTGCTATTTGAAGTGAGTTTAGGAAAAGAATAGAAGAAAGCAAGTGGACACAACATTTTGAACTGTTTTTATGCAGAAATGTGTGGCAGGAATTTTCTATTCATATCAAATACTGTGTTTTGTTACTGTGTCTTGAAATGATTCAGGAGAAAAAATAAAATTAATAATACAAAAAAGAAAGTTGCCAGTTATAGAAACAAATTTCTTCAGAAGCTGAGTGTAAATAAGGTGTGCCATTAGCAGAGAATTTGACCTTACCTTGGCAAATGAATAGTCGATCCATTGTGAAAAAGACAATGTGGATAGCAATAAGTAACATCTATTGTATGTTTGCTACATGCTCTAAGGACCCTAAGTCAGTTAACTCTTTAAGAAGTCCACAGAAATATTATGAAGTATAGATTATTCCTATTCCTACATGGCATCAAGGAACATAACACAGTGATTTGAAGAAATTTGTCCAAAGCCATCACAGCTAGTAGGTGGCAAAGCCAGGAATTACACACTATTATACAACTTGTACTATCTTGTATACCTTCAAGTCAAATATTTTGTCTCACTTTGAATTGCTTTATAAATAGGATCCTTTTTGTTAGCTCACACAAAAAAATGGGTGAATGTCTGTTCATTTATTTGTAGGGCAACTGCAACAGCTTCCTAACCTATATCCCTGCTTCTTGTAGTGTACTCTTCACCCGATCCTCTAGTCCACTGTCTTCATCAAAGCTAATCTTTCCAAAGTGTACATGAGGTCATAACATCTTCTCTGTTTACAATGCTCTAGAATCTTCATTGGAGTTAGAATTAAATTCAGGACATTACCTCATTACTATGGCTTACAAAACTGACTTGGCTCTCGGCTACCTTTTCTATATTTTCGGTCATTTCTCACTTATCCATGAGGCGTCACTCATATTTGCCTTCCTTACATCCCACATATCTGTCTCCTTAAGTACCTTAGATGTATGGTGTGTTTTGCCTTTTTATCATTTAGGTTCAGCTTAATTGTTGTGCCATCAGAGAGGTTACTCTGCCCAATTGAAAGTATTCTCCTGCTACCCATGCCTTTCTAGTATGCTAACTTTTGTTTCTTTTATAATCTTTATTATGATTCCAAGTTGTCTTATGTAAAGGTGGGCATGGGTGGTGGTACATGCCTCTATCTGTAGATAGATGATAGATCGATAGATAGATGAATAGATAGATGATATATAAATAGATAGATAGATAGATAGACAGACAGAGAGACAGACAGACAGATAGATAGATAGATAGATAGATTGATTGATTGATTGATTGATTGATAGATGATAGATAGGCGTCTTATGTAAAGGTGGGCATGGGTGGTGGTACATGCCTCTATCTGTAGATAGATGATAGATCGATAGATAGATGAATAGATAGATGATATATAAATAGATAGATAGATAGATAGACAGACAGAGAGACAGACAGACAGATAGATAGATAGATAGATAGATTGATTGATTGATTGATTGATTGATAGATGATAGATAGGCAGGTAGATAGATGATAGATGATAAAGACCTATTCAGATAGATAGATGGATGGATGGATGATGGATAGATAGATGATAGATAGATGATAGATAGATAGATGATAGATAGATATAGGAAGAAAGATAGACAGATAGATGATAGATAGATGATTGATAGACAAATAGATGATACCTAGATGATAGCTAGACAGATAGATGGATGGATGGAGAGAGAGAGAGAGAGAGAGAGAGAGAGAGAGAGAGAGAGAATCTTAGTAGACAAGATATAAAGACAGAAGGGCCATGAATTTGAGGGCAATCTAGGCTACATAGTGGGACTCTGTCTCAAAAAAACAAGAACAAAACTAAACAAAAACCAAAAACCAAAAGCAAAATTATCTTGTTTCTGTGTTTACTGTCTATTTGTCTTATTTGTTTCCACAAAATGTAGCATCCTTGTCTCTGTACCAGTTGAGATATATATATTCAGAAACAGGTGTGATTAGAATTAAGGAGTGGAGACAGAGAGCCTCAGCACCCCTGGTTGGGAATTGGCTTATGGGCACCATGCATGCCATTTGAGTAATATTTTAGAACAATAAAGCATAAAAGAGTAACACCACAACTGGAAAAAAGTAATTTTATTATATTTTAGCAATTTATTATATTTTAGCAATCAATTAGATTATATTTTATATAATTTTAGCAATTATATTGGGGGACAGTTTTTAATTTTAGAAATTTAAAAATGGCAAATTATTTGTAATGACTACAAAGACAATCCTTCATGTAATTACACTTTCACCTTAAGGAGAGCTACTCAAATAGAGGCCTCACAGTTCCCCACCTGCACTGAGTTCACATTACCTTTGCTGCAGAAGACAAACAGATGACAGAAGGAGGCCATCAAGGAAAAAAATCTATATAAATATCAAAAAATCATTCTTTAATTTTTTAAAAAGTATTTAATTTAAAAAATCCATACAATGTATTTTGATCACATTCAGACCCTCTCCTCCACCTCCACCTTCACCTTACTACTTCCCCCATCCAGGCCTCATGTCCTCTATTCTTATTGTCTTTTTAAGGCTTATCTAGTCTAGTAACTGTTGGTTCATTCAACTGCAAATTGTGAGAATTGGTCTAGCTCAACCTCTGATATCTTCACTACAATAGCACATGTTTTTTTGTGGCATACAAATTCTCTCCCATAAAAATTTTAAAAAAGAATGCATTTTATATGTTGTACAACATTCCAATTTAGCAAAATGTAATTATGAATTATGGAATAAAAAGAATTTATTTGATAGATGTACCATATGTTATTTTCATACTTTCAAAATGTTTCTTTTTCATTTTGAAAATTATATTAAGACCAATTATAAATATAATGGTAAGATGAATCAGAACTAGGTTATCAATAAAAATAATAATTTGGTCTCCTTTCCTTTCTTTTCTCTCTGTCTTCTATGTTAATTAAATAGATAGAGTAATCAATAGTGTTATGCATATAAGAGAATATTGATTAAGATATTTGTATTTTGTTGTGTAGGAAAATGACCCATTTGCCATCAGTTAAAATAGATCTCAATATAAAAGATATGAAGATCCTGGAATTGTCTTTGTGCTCCATTTTGAATTTACTTTTCTTTCAGAGTCCAGTCTTAAAAGTAATCCAATCACAATAAGCAGTCACTCGGGTATAAACACCTGGCTTATTCTTTTGACCACATCCTTTACCCCAGCTTATTGTTCCAACAAGGTGCCAGATATTTCTGGAGTTAGAGTAAGCTAGTGGTCCACCAGAATCATTCTAGAAAATGAAAA